GGACCGCCCAACTCTTCCTCATGGCGTTGAGTGTAGTCAAGGATGTTGAAATGGCTGCAGAAAGGAAATGAAACCCCGACACCCTCCCCCAATTAACCCGTTTTCGGGTGGAAACCGATGCTAGGAGAACTGTCAGTTTTCAAGAGGTCAAACGTGTTGCACCAAAGAAACACCAACCTCCGTGTTTTACCAGCGTCTTACATTCTTGAAAGGCGGCCCTTTGGGGTTTCCTAGGTTTCCCTGGGTCCTTGTTGGAAGGTTTCCCTTTTGGCTTTCCTTGGAGAGCTTCGATTGATTTCCTGAAGGACAAACTTTCTGTCAGTCAACCCCCATTACCATAAAGGTTGATTGGTACTCAAGCAAGCAGAGCAAGGGGGCTAAACACTCTTGCTGGCTTGGGATGTGGTGCTCGTGAAAAATCAAGGAATTGTCGCATTGGACATGTCAAGCTGTCAAGCTGTTCCAAGCTCACACTCCCCTGCCCAGCTCAGCCCGTCGGTCGGTGTCGACCGTGGCGCGTCGCCCTGCCCTACCATGGCCATCCCGGATGATAGGTTGAGCTTGTTTTTTTGCGCAAGGAGGTACGTGAGTTCTAACAAACAGATGGGTTCCAAATGGATGCCAGGGTGTTTGGCGCAAGGACGCAAATGATATCCAACAAGTGGGGTCCACATGGATGCCACACACATGCAGGTTTGCTAAACATTCTTGCTGGTTTGGGATGCGGTGCTTGTAAAAATCAGGGAATTGTTGCATTGTTCACGCATCTATAAGACTCTCTTCGCGCCCGCACTCCCCTGCCCAGCCCGTTGGCCCATCACCCGGGCCTTGCCCTACCACGCGGCAGAAAAGTGCAATTAGCCTCGGATGTTAGACGCATGAGTGTTTTTTTGCGCAAGGACGCAAATGAGTTCTAACAAACGGGTTCCAAATGGATGCTGCGCACACAGGCACACATGAGGGTTTTTGGCGCAAGGACGCAAATGAGTTCTAACAAATGGGTTCCAAATGGATGCCACACACGGGAAAGCTTTTGGGGCAAGGGCGTGAACGAGTTGCAGCAAATGGGTTTCAATCCAATAAATGAGTTTCAACAAATGAGTTTGATTCCAATTTTCAAGGAGTGTTGCCAAACTAGGCCCAGTGAAAAAACATCAGCCTGCAAAACCATCGGTCCCGTATTTTCCACCTTGAAAAAAAGCGGGCGCGCAAAAAGCATAAGAGGCGTTTTTTTGGGTGTGCGGAATGGTTTTGCCTTGCCTGGCCGGGGAAGAGTTGGGTACCTTCCCCATTGGGCCAGTGGAGTTTACTAAAGGATCACTGTCGAAGGAAAACTTGCCCAGCCAGCTGTCAGGGAAGGAGGCCCTGAAAGCGTAGACTAGCTTGCTGAGGGCAAAGTTGCTGTTGCTTTCTCACACACGCGGCCCCCACGGCGCCGATTGTAGGCGCTGGCACTGCCCTTGCAGATGCCCGCCAGGATGCTGCCGGCAGCCGCAGTCCCGATCACCTCCCGAGTTTGGGCCCGATACAGGTGGCCGAAACCGCACAAAGGTCTTGCAACGCAACGTGGCAAACGTTTGGCCCGAGGCCCTTGGCCACTGAGCTGTGGTTTGAGGAGGGCGCTATTCGACTTTGATGCCTGAGGCAAATGGTTGGTTCACGCCAACCTCCTGATGCCCTGACAGGTGGCCTCTGCACACACAAGAACGGCATCTTGCCCAACAGCGCTCAACTGTCCAAAGACATTCCTCGCGCATCGCTACACCCTCTCTCATTTGCACGGCTTGCGCCGTGCCTTGAGAAGACTTTCTTTCTCTGCGGGCGGCTGGGCGTCCATAGCCGGAGCTGGTGGGGCCTCTGGGCTGTGTCACCAAAGGTCAACTCGTCGTGGTTTGGACTTTTCGGAGTTCTTTCGCTTTGGACCTTTTTTCTTTAATATAGGTTTGTTTGTTGCGATTGTTTTGTTGTTTCTTCGGATGGCTCTTTTCTTTTCAAATGAAAATATTTAAACTACCGCTTTTCTGGTTTTGCATGTTTTGTTCTTCGCTTTTGTTTGAGTTCCTCGTTTGTTTGCAGAAACCGCGCGGAGAGGGTGCTCACGCAAGACAGTGGATGCCCCTGCCATATTGCACCCACCCACGCACCCACCCAGCCAACCCCCCCCCACCCACCCACCCACCCACCCACCCACCCGCCCGCCCGCCCGCCCGCCCGCCCGCCCGCCCGCCCGCCCACCAACACACCCTCCTCCAATAACCCCATGGTTTTGCGGTGCAGTGCACCTGGTGTGCTCACAAAACCACCAACTGCTTGAACATCGACCAATGTCCGAAGCCGGCCGCAAACCTGGCTGGCCTAATTACCCCCCAAAAGTTGCCGAAAATCGCCCATGCTTTGGCCGGCTACTGACTCTTCACTTCCACCACCGGTGGTTCCCTGTGGCTCCACAAGGGGAAAAAACACGGCGGCACACCACCGAAACCGACCGACCGGCGCGAAGTCAACTTCGCGGGCTTGGCTTGGCGAACTTCCCGAAGAGCGAGGACCTGAGAGGAGTCGGCCCCCAAGCCGGAAATCAAAGGGGACGTGGCCTTGGCCGGTGGGGCCCTGCTCAGGGGCCCCGCTTACGACTCGCTATGGGCTATGAGAAACATTCCCTCAAAACGGGTGGCTTGATTGGTTGGAGGTGTTCCAGTCATTTCCCACCCCTCTACAAGGGCAAGGGGTTCAAATCCGTTCCGAGCCCCAACAGCCCAAACTTTGGAGGCAGGAAATCACATGGCTCTCGCGCGTCCAAGCGGTGCCCGCCGTGATCACCATGTCTGGGCAGCAGCGTGATTATATGCTCTTGCACATGTCGGGATGGCTTAACCATGTGCAAAAGAAAACTACGTGGTTGATGCGATCAATGGGGCACATATTTGGAAATCCCAAAAAAACAAGTCTAAAGTTCCAAATGGCAGCCAGATTTTGTCAAAGCCACGAAAGAATTGCATGCAATTGGATACAGAACCTTCATGGTAAGGTCGGGTCACCTCTGAATCGGTGACGAGTAGGCAAATGTTAGCTGCTAACCACATGGCGCCCCATCATGGGCCGACTTGTAGTGGCACACAGGACCCGGCACCTGTTGGGGCCCCAACATGGGGAACCCGTTTGCTTCCCCTTGAGCAACCCGAAAAATAAGCCCCTGGGCATGAAAGCATCCTGGCTGAAAAAACACTGCCACGGCGACAACCTGCAGTTCCGACATCTGAAGCAAGAATTGGGACGCCCAAGGAAAGGACCCAGGCGAGCGTGCCTCAAATTTGCGGACCAATGGTACTTGCTAAAACAACCCCTCATTGTCGACTTAAGATCCACTGCACGCAAGCGCACATGGCCTCGAACCCCATAGCTAATACACACTCCTTTTTGCTGAAGATGCCGCCTTCAAATGGGGCACCGTCGTGTGGGTCATCCTGCTGGCTCTGTCTACGACGTGGATGCGATCTGGCTCTGGAAGGGGAATCCAATCTTGCGCTTGGTTGCTTCTCTTACTCGCCTGTGCAGCCCAAGAAGCTGGGACCTGCTTTGTTTCAGGCTCCGACCATAGGTGTCCTTTTAGGGGAAATAGATGGGTTTCCCTGACCACCAGGTAAACTAGGAATCGCCATCTATTTTTCTAGCAAAACAACCAAAAAGGACACCTATGGCTCCAACAAGCTGAAAAGCCTCGACTGAACAATCCCGACAGAAGATGCTCATTCAGCTTGTCGAAGCCGAGAATACAGACACCCAGGGTTCTGGTCATTCTGGTGGAATTAACCCCTGGTCACCCCCGTTCTGGCTCCAGCCTGCCCCTCAATAGAACCAAGCAGAGCAACCCTTCAGGAGTCACACCTACGCCCTTGGCTCGGCACCATTGGTGACCTGCTATTGTAGGGATCTACTGGGCAAGATGCTGCAAGTTCGAAAAACAGAAACCCGAGCTTGCTGCAATTCACCCATGGGCTTTGGCTTCTCGCTTGCTTGTCTTACTTGCAAGAAATGGGTCCGTCCCTTTTTGTGGGTACCTTTTTGCCATATTTGGTGGCTCCCCAACAAAAATGTACAAGGATCAGGAAGCAAGTAAAACGACACACCCTTTTTGAGGGGTCCAACCTCAAAAAAAGACCAGCCACCCACCCCGACCCCGAAACCGCGAAACCGCGGGCTTCAGGTTAACCCAGGCCCCGGCTTCAGCGTCGCGCTCTGCAGCCCATAGGCCGCCAGCAAGGTCCTGCGAGGACATGCAGCCCAAACCAAACCAACCAACAAAAAAAAAATAATCAAAACAGGCGGCCAACCAGGGCAACCAACCAGCCAACCAAGCAGTCAACCAAGCAACCAACCAACCCAACCCAACCCAAAGCGATCCAACCAGCCAACCAACCAGGCAACCAACCAGCCAACCAACCCAACCCAACCCAACCAGCCAACCAACCAACCAACCAACCAACAAAACAACCAAACAGGGCAACCAAGCAGCCAACCAGCCAACCAAGCAGCCAATGAACGAACAAACGAAGCAAGCACCCACTACCAAACAGGGCAACCAACCAACCCAAGCCAAACCAAACCAAACCAAATCAACTAGCCAGCCAGCCGACCAACCAACAAAACAACCAACCAAGCAGCAAGGAGCGGGCGGGCGGCTGGCAAGCACGCGGGGAAATGATATCAGCCCAGAAAGGCAAAAGGATAAACTGCTTCCCCAAAGGACCCTGAAATACAAGGCCAACCGCCAAGACTGAACATGGAGCAAAAACGGGAAACTGAAAGGTCAAAAGGTCGATTCGCTTTGGGCAAGTGAGGTTGCCCCCGGTTTTCAACTGGCCCTCCTTTCTTAGAGAGAAAGACGCGAGATAGCCGAGAGAGAAACACAGCTCCACAGAAGATCCAGGCGCAAAATCGCGAAACAATCATGCGAAATCGGGCAACATTGGGAAACATCGGGCAAAACCATGCAAAGTCGGGCCAAATCAACAGCTATGCAACATGTGGTGACATCGCGCAAGGCATGCCGTGCGAGGTAAGACTGGTCGTTGCTCCCTTGCCCAAAGTCAGACTTCTGGGATCCCTCTAAGACTCTAAACTCCAACAAGAGAAGCCGAAGGAACCATATGCCTGGGAAATGCCAGGTAAACAATTTCCACATCCCACTGTTTAAGCGGCGTTTCAAGGGCTCATTACTAAAACCCCTCAAACGATTCCCATGACCCCGCGGATGTTTTGGACTGTTCTGGGGCTGGATGCCTGAAATTAAGGCAGCTTTTGTAGCGATACACCCGTCCTGGGGTGTGTCTCGCTCAAAGTGATGAACCCCCACCAAAACGGGACCCCCTCCTAGTGATCAACCAAAGGTTTATTCATCAGGGGTTCGATTAAACGAATCTCCCTTTGCGCGTCGGATCATGTTGATTGGCGGTTTTGGTCAGGTGGTTTTGGTGAAGAATTTCCGTGAGTTCCCCCATGTCCGGAACCCCATACCCGGACCATGGACTGCTGGAGAGTTGGCCAAACCTCATATGAGTCATAAGCAAACCCATCAGTATTGAGATGGCCTACCCAGAACCATGCTTCAAGAATTCAAATCCGCACCCATACACGCCTTAGGATTCTTTCTAGCCTTCACCTACCGGAGTTTTCAGCACGTGGCTATGAAGCAGAGGCACACCCCCAGGTACATGTGTTCAGGCAGCGGCATATGTCTTACCGCAGTTGCCCAACCCAAAACTACATATGGAAGCACACCGCAGCATGCAAATCCCAAAAAGCCGGTTGCTTTTTTACCAAAAAAATAATGCGACGACTTTCAAAGACTAAAAAGACGGGCAAATGGCTTAAAATCCCTGAGGTGAGCCTAGGATTGACATATCCCGGAGGTGCACCCCTCGGCTCCTGGAAGCTGCGGAGATGCGCACCACCAGATCCTCGTAGCCATGTGCAGCCCGTAGCCGCAGCCACAGTGGTACGCCCTACTGTGGATGGACAAAAATCCTGCACCACTTTGAAACCATGGGAAACGATCGTTTCTTGGCATTTACAGGGGAATCATCATTCCAAGGTTTCTGTAGGCTGTGGAGACTCTTCCCTGCATTAGCCCCTTTGGCCCATGAGGGTGTCGCCATTGGGAACATCAAGCTGGAGGACTGCGCAAGATGTCAGCCTGGAACCCGGCACCCCTTGGAGGAGCGGGCGACGTGTCACTCGTCCAAGCTCAGCCTCCCATTGACAAACATGGAAGAGCGTGGAAGTGCACTGCAGCTTTATTTGGGGGGGGGAGTAAGGCATCAATCACAGATCACCGGACGGAGCTAAGCCAACGGTCATTGCCATTCTCCTATTCTAGTAGCTGGCTCCCAAAAATGGGCGGTGTCCCTTTAAGATCTTCCCAACAACTTGCGCCCTCAAAAACAGACACCCCCGAATAATCTAACTACACCATTCCAACGGGGCTACCATCGCCCGATGTCCTGCAGCAGGTCACTCTGCTGCATGGAGCGAGGGCCCTCAGGGTCCAAAAGGCCTGGCCCCGGGTCAAAATCTCGAGCCATGACGTGGGTGAAGACGGCTCTGAAATGGGTGGCCTCTCTTGTTTTAGGGGACCTGGAAGTGGCTTCGGATTTCCTGGTGGTATTGCTTTTGGTTTTCCTTTCACCCCACCATTCTAGAGAAAGGAAGTGATGTCAATTTAGGTGCTCCTTTAAAATTACACCAGCATAGACTGCACATAACGAAAGACATGCCGACGATGGTACACCAACAGCACTCCCGAAGAGCGACCCAAACAGCACCCGGCCGTCAATCTGGCAAAAAAGCGCCCGTGCCGGCCGTCTCTAGCACCCCCAACAGCACCCCCAACAGCACCCCAAACAGCATCCCAAACTGCTTGCCTCCTGGCACCCTGCCGTCAATCTCGCAAAAATGCGCCCGCCCTGTCACGCCCAACAGCACCCCCAAACAGCATCCTCAAAGCGACACCTACATCAGCGCCCCAAAAACTTCATGACCCCTTGGCACCCTACCGCCAATCTTGTAAAAAATGCTCCTGCAGAGTCACCTGAATGCCCGTCTCACCAGCACCCAAACAGCACCGCAAACAGCACCTACACCAGCACCCAGCCCATCTTTACTAGAAGTTAGAACCCTATAGCTTTTAGCTATCTGGGGAAAAGAGAGGTACCCTCAAAATTACAAAAGCACAGACCCCAAATAGCATAAAACAGGTCTAGGATTGCACACTGCTCGTTGGGGACATATCATATCAAATTCAGGGACGTCTGGGTGTAATTGAGAGAAAAAAATACCTTAAGGGTGCTTGACCTTTGCAATTGAAAGGACGCTTGGAAAGGGGGCAGGATTTCATTGCGGGGCTTCTTGCCCCAAACAGCACCCCAAGCACCTGCATGCGCACCCCCATGCTCCCTAGCCCGACCGTCCATCTTGCAAAAATGCGCCCACCAGCACCTCAAACAGCACCTGCACCACCCCAAGCTGCATGCCCACCAGCACCCCAAGCAGCCCCCAAGCAGCACCCCAGAGCAGCACCTGCACCAGCACCCCAAACTGCATGCCCCCTTCAATCCCGCAAATCACTTCCCCTTTTATCTTTCAGAAGTTAGCACCCCCTTAGCTTTCAGCTCTCTATCTAGGGAAGAAGGCAGACTCACTTTGGGGGTAGCACGGCAGGCCAAACACTGACTGCCGCGACGTCGAGGTCTGCCCTTGGTGGGAGGCCAATACGTCCTTTTTGCTGCGCCTTTGCTGGGAATTGGTGGGAGGCTTCTTGACATGCCCCTACATATTATGGTGGATGCACCTGCCATGTTGCAAGCAAGCGAACAAGGCAAAACCCTAACCCACCATCACGTGCCATCGTTTTGTGCATGAGTGTGGCTGACTTACCTGCAAACTGGTAGGGGCGTCCACCGTTGATGTGCCCGCAACATGGTTCAAATAGGCAAATTGAGGTTATGCAAGAATGTGTTTCAGGGTCTAGCCGGAATACGGCGGATTCCAGAAATCACAAGGAAGCTCCTGTCAAGTTCCAAACCTATTCAACATTCATGCAGCAAAACAAAATCCATGCAATGGGCGAAATCCTGCACCGATGATCCCCATCAATGGGTGCGGCTCAAAACTAACGAGGCCGGGTTGCGCAGGTCTTGGTCTTTGCCATTTACGCAAAGGCCACGTCACTTCGTTCAGCGAGTTCAGCGGGTTCAGGGCCTCGGCAGTGAGTCCACATGGGCCGCGGCGTCAGTGGCCTGACCTGGCGCGGATCAGATTTACCCGAAAGGAACCTCCCCCAGGAGGAGGTTCCGCTGATGGGTGAAATTGCCTAACTTCCGATCGAGCGGATTGGCCAAAAACCGTCCAGGAACTTTCTATTTGCCACTGGAATGGTCTTCCCAAAAAGTTTGAATTCTTGCTGGTTCGATCATTTTGGGAAATGGCCCGTTTGTGATGTTTTTGTGTTCATTGCTTTGAAGGGGATTCCGCTGCTGCGTATCACAGCAACTTGCCCTACACTCAATTCTCGACCTGGCTCGCTAGGTCGGGCATCAGCTCTGGTGGGAAGAAACCCCATTCCCCCGAGAAAGAAAGGGATGGCTCAGCGGGCTGGGCGGGCAGCCGCACAGGGCACCTACCCATCTTCAGGGGTAGAAAGCCTCCGACAGCCCCGAGAGCTGTGCGGCGGCCCCTCACTTGGCAGATAGAAACGTCACAGCTGGACGTTGATCGCCCAAGGGTTCGCATTTGGTTTCAAACGGGTTAAACATCACAGGATGGGAATTCTTTAGTCGCAGGGAATCCACTCGGCGGAAGATTGGACAGGGCCACTCCCACGAGAGTTGTAGTCTTGAAAGGACATTCTGGGCCCTGGACGGGTGATGTCCTAAACGGGAAATATAGGGAACACTGTTTTGGCAACCTTAAAAACCGCTGTCAAGCTCACTAGGGTCTGGGGGCCCAGCATTTTTGCGTAAACGAAACGCACCCTGGCAGACCAATAAAAGCCGCCTCAGTAACCCTGACAGTCTTTCCCCAGAATGAGGGGCGGTAGCCCCCACAAAGCAGGAACCTCCCCCTTGTGGAGAATTTCTCCAGGGACGTGCTGCAGGTGAAATCGACCCCCAGTGGATAGTGGATCGCCATATGAGGACCCAGACATACAAGGCGCATGGGCCAACTCAGGGGGCGTTGGGCAAGTGAGGCTCCAAAAAAGGAGAACAGGGCAGAACTGGACACCTGGAAAACGGCCTTTGGGGAAACGCAGGCCTTGCTTCCGCAAAGTTGGTACCGGGAAACCCCCGCAATAGCCCGCAATGTGTGCGCCTCAACACCGGTGTCGTGGCCACTGACCTGCTTGTAGGCATCCACAATGTTCTGGTAATCCTGGCGCGGAGGAAGCACCCACCTCCAACTCTTCCCTTTCTGCTGGTGTTGATTGGGACTGCGAAGGTCCAACATGGGTTTCTGAGGCAAACTGGAGAACCCCACCAAATTTGTTGGTTTTCTGTTGGTTCCTCTTCTTCCATTTGCTTAAGCCCCTGGAAGAAAAAAATGTCCAGTAGTGATAGGTTCCCTTTAAAACTAACAGGGGAAAATAAAAATATTCTCACAAATGGAAGTCTTTGCAACCACCCAAAGGGACAACCCTAAACAAAGACTCTTCAGCATGGAGGGGACGTGTGCCATCTACGTTCACCAAAACGGAAAGTGGCGCTACTGGGGCTGGCGGGGTCAGCGCCCCTGTCCCGTCCTTCTCCTTTGTGGCATACCTCGGCCCACGACTCATCTGGATTTACTTTCAGCCAGGCCTTCACTGGCGGTTCAGATTGGTGGCATGCTGGCAAACAGTTGCGGGTAACCCGCCAAACAAACCCAAACCACGAATTCAACCAACGCACAACTCCAGTTGTGTGGGTATGTCAAGGGGATGGCTAAACCAAAAGGAGGGAATTGCGCCATCTACTTTCACCCAGCTGTGTCCGTGTTGCTCCCTTGCTCCCTTTGCAATGGTTCGCTCTCAGCTGGCCTGGGAACGACAACAATGTAACAGCCAATTTGTTGAGGGTTAACGACCTGATACTTGGTGCTAAATAGAGAGCCTAGAAAAGCCAACACTTCCGCTTTTGGCTGACAACTATTTCGCCCCCAGCAAGCCCAGCTTCTCGGGCCACGCAGCTTCTCTGAAGTTGAGTTGCTTGCCCCGTTTTTGTGTCATTGACCCGGGCATGTGCGGCTGTTCCAAAGCCTTGCCGGTGGTTTTCCCTTTTCAATGACTCAGACAAGGGCAAGCCACCTCCACTCGGACCAAAACGAGAAGATGCCCCCAAGTTTTCGACGCCGCCAGTTTGAGGGCCCCGCATCTCCTCGAGTTCGACGCCTCGGACTCGAAAGACATGGTCGCAAAGGGTCAAACAAGAAAGCATCCGAGTTCGACTTGCTGTCCCCAAGGGCCCAAAATCAAGTTGAACCCCAAACTGCAAAAAACAAAAAACCAAAAACGGTCCGAAAAGTCTGCAACCTTCCCCCCCCCCCCACCAGAAAAGTCTGGCACCAGCGGAACATCCGCCCGCCGGAAAAAGGCCCCGGGCAGCGCTGCCTTGCCAGCCGCGTCTCCTCCTTCGCCGCCTCTGGGAACCGGCTCCAGGTGTGGCGAAGCTTGGGAGTCGTGGCGGTGTGTCCAGGTTGCTGTTGCCGATACCTAAGCTTAGACTTCGTCCATTCGACGGCTTCCGGATTCCTACGGAATCTGCCATTGATTTTGTCTGGACACTCTGGTTTCTCAAAATGCTTGAGATCAGCGACCCTCCATTGATTTTGTTCTCTCTCCCTCTCTCTCATGTGCTATCCCGCAGTTCCCTAATTAGGAGCACTCCTGGCCCAGGACTCTCTCTGATTTATTTGATCTGGACATGCTTGTTTCTCAACCTATTTGTTTGAATGGTTTCAAGGGTGAACCACACGACCTGAATTTCAGAAACCCCCACATGGAATTGAGCTTCTCTGGACATGGTTTCAAGCAGGAAATCCACCACCCGAAGGAGTTGGTCCCGATCTTTCTCAGAAACACCCACATGGACGTTTCCTTCGGACCCCACTGCCAAGCCTTTTTTTGGGGCTCCCGTAGAAACGAGCGCGACGTTTGGATAGGCGCTCGGAAAGGTCCAGGGTTCTATTTGGGTGTCTCTGTTTCAGGGGGACCCCCCAAAATGTCCCAACGGACTCCTGTTGGTTCCCTTGAAAACCACCAAACAAAGGTACCATCTCAAAACAGACACACTCTTTGTCCATTTACCCCATGGCAGGCGCAAATGCAGGAAGCGGTGCCCCTGCAGGAGAACCCCACCTCTCCTGGTTAGCGCCTCTTTGTTGCATCTAAAAAGGCTGCTTCGCCTTTACAACAACACCCAGCTTGGCTCAGGCGACCCTGCTGGAGAAAGGGAACCCTGTTTGGGATTCGGCTTTCTTGGGCCACGAGACCAAGGTGCGATCCGCTGACCGATGGACCTCCAATCCCCCTCTGAAAGGCCCACGCCTCGTGCTCCTCCCGTGGCACCATGTTGGAGTTCTTCAACTCGGGTGTCACGCGCGGCCAGGCGGTCACATATCCCGTGCCGAACTGGAGGCACCAGCCTATGGGTGAAAGGCAAATAAGGATGCATCTATATAAGCACATATGCATGCACATGCATTAGCAGGTATGTGTCTATATGGATAGGTGGATAGACGATAGATGTTTATGTGTTCATATACGTACAAATGAATGTGTGTGTGTGCATTTGTGCCTTGAGGCGCATAGTTGTCAAAAATCCGGCGCCGGGCCCCGAGTCATTGCAAACATCCAGCCCGCCAGATGCAAGGCTGTCTCGAAAACCCAGCCCCCAAAAAAAGAAATTTTGTCATCCATTTTTCACGAAAAAATGGACCAACATGGACCAGCTGGGTTCGACCCAGATCCAGTGAGCGCCGCACGCGCTCCGCGTTCAGCTGAGCCTGGCGCTTGGAAAAGAAGCGACTCTGGGCTCTGGTCTTGCTGGTTCACAGCATCTGTTTTGGGTTGCGAGGGTCGCAAGAAACCAACAAGGCTCACAGTGTTTAAAGCCAGACCCATGTGAGTCATGTGAGCCCATGACTTTGCCGCTGGCTTGAGACGCCTCACAGCCGGGCAGAGGCTCTGGCGCGCGCGCCTCGACCATCTTGTTCCGCTGGTCTTGGTCTTTAACTTGATGTTGCCTCGGAGAATGGGTTTAGGGTTTAGGGTTTAGGGTTTCGGGCTTAGGGTTCAGGGTTTAGGGTACTAAACGCTGCAGCGAATTTGGAAAAAGAACTGAGCAAGAGCTTCCCTGGTCGCACATCAGTTCGACACGCTGCACCACAGTTGGAAAAAGAACTGACCTGTTGTGAATCTTGGCATCACAAAAATTCCCAAAGCCACTGAGACGGCAGACCTGCCAGAGTTCTCACAACAGGTGTGCCTGTTGGCACTTCTGAGCAAGAACCGTTTTCAGCCGTAATTAAGGCTTGAAACCCAAAAATATCGCGTTGGAACGCTGCGTAAAAGCTGGCGCACAACCTGCACTGGTGGCGATCCTCACTTTGGGGAGAGTAGCTGAAGCCTTCAGCCCCCTCAATGTCCGAGACCGGTGTCAACGCAAGCCATTGATGATCACATGCTCAATCTTCGTTCTGAATCCTGACGCGCTGTTTCAGGCTAACTCTTGCTACCTCTTCTAACCAAAGCCAAATGGAAAAAATGGGCAACGGTTGAACATGCGAATCGGGAAATCGACGAATCCCACCTGGAGCCCTCTCTAAGAGTTTGCTTCCCTGGAGGCTTTCCCGAGGCTTGTGAGGGGTGATCTGAACCGCGGTTCTCAAAACACACACACACACATCTACAAAACCTCCCCCCCCACCTTTAAACAAATGAGCTCAGGTGACATCCCCAACAGCATGCGGTGCTCCGCAGCCCTCGCAGAACCTCGTGGAACCCTGGTGGAACCCTCGTGGAACCCTCGTGGAACCTTACCTCAGGGCCGCCCCGGACCACCCCGGAGCCTAACTATCTGGACTGAGACCCCAAAGCTTTCAGCTGTCGGGGGTAGAAACAAAAAACTAGAGACACCAATGATCCCAAGCAAGAAGCACACTACATCATGAGCCCGGTTGAGTCAACCCAATCGCTGAGGCCACGGCAGCTTCGCGAGCTCTGCGTAGTTCTCGCGCTCCTGCTTCCGCAACGCCTCCACCTGGAACGACTCTCACGTACGGAAGCCGGGAAGCGGCGGCTGAAACCGAGGGGACCACAGGTGACCCCCCAAAAACAAACATAGATGGGTTGAATTTGGGAAATGGATGGCATAAATCCCAGCTCAACCAGCGGAACTCATCAATTTCTGACCAAGCTAAGCGAAAAAGGACAACATTTGGGAGGGAAGCATGAGAGACGGGTGGCTTGCACACCCGCAAGAACAAACCATGCAAAATCTGGGGGACACCACAAACTGGCAACAGCTTGCTGGTGGTTGTTGGGAAAGGACATCAGCTAAAAGAGCCCCTTATCTCAGGAAACACCGAATGATTCTGGCCAACAAAGCACACGGCAAACCAACAAGCACCGCCTATCAGCCGTCTATAGCATGACAGAACAGCCTGACAGCAAAACAAACGTGACGTGCGGCATGACAGGGGCGAAACTCCACCCCGGCCGGAGTCGCATCTTGAATGTGCCAAAAAGGAGAGGTGTAAAACCACCAAGCAAAAAAAGAAAAAACTACCTGTGACATGTCGGGGTAAATCAATATTCCTGCCATTGACCTTGCCATTTTAGTGGTGAAAGCCTTTCTTGTGGTTTCCCTGATAGTCATCCTGTGTAAACTCGCTTCTTGGGGAAGGGGCATCCCCCATGTTCATCGGACCTATTGATCAACCCCCATGTTCTGCAGCCTGCACTGTCCCGAGCAGGTTGCTGAAGACGCGCCTGCTTCTCCATGCGTTCCAGGTTGCTGAGGATGTCCATGTTCCTGGAGCCAACTGCACTGAACTTAAAAAACTCCAAAACTTTTGGAACCGGATGGCGGGGAACCACCCAGTTTTCAATGTTACCCTTGAAAAGGCCAACTGGATCTGGTTTTTGCCAAATGATTCACTTTTAGTGGGCAATGGAAACCCCCCCACTCAACCCTAAAAAGCCAAAAACCTTAGGGGAAAACCAGGCGCTGTCTTGGCCGAGCTGCTGCTTGTGCGACTCCTCAGCCAGCCATCGGTCCTGACTGGTTCAAACTGGGGTCCTTGGTTTCCCTTGGCTTCCTTGGTTTCGCTTGGTTTCCCCTTGGTTTTCCCTCTTTTCTCTTGGTTTCCCTTAGTTTCCCTTCATTTCTCTTAGTGTCCCTTGGTTTCCCTTTCCCTTAGTTTCCCATGGTTTCCCTTACCTTTCCCCTGCTTTCCTGGATCCCTCCTTGTCCAAATCCCAGTTATATCTTCCTTTTGCATTTGAAGGTGTGCAAGGGGGTTTAAGCTGGGGTTTGGGGGGGTTGGTCCTACCCCTTGATCCCATCTGAATGGGACTACCCCGCGCATTTGACATTGGATAATCCCCAAAAAGAACTGCAAAAGATGGTTTTGGGGCTGCATGTCAATTTGCAGTGGACTAGTCCGTAATCCGTAAGGGCAAACTACTGATTGACTTTGGACAACCCAGAAGGGGGGCAGACCATCGCCTACCCCAACAAGTCTGTGACATACTGCGGATGGACAAAATCCTGCACCACTTTGAAACCATCGGAAACCATTGTTTGTCGGTATTTACAGAGGAATCATCATTCCAGGGATTCTTAGGTGGTGCGAAATGGATTTCGTCCATCCACAGTAAGTCCACCTTTCGGGACCATGGCCACAAATGCACCGAAACTCGGATACCAAATGCAATTAGCTACCCATGGCGCGTATCGTCGGCGCTTGTTTTCTCGACCTCCGATATCCTCAAACCCAACTTGACCACAGACATGATGTGGGTGGATGCCCTGAATATTGCAAGTAGGGGGGAAAGGACACCTTCCAATTTGCCGCCATTTCCCATGGGCATCCACCGCATGTGGGAAAAGCGGGCCCTACAAACATGTTAATGGCTGAAAAAAGGGCACCCCTGAGCTAGTTTCTGCTGCCATTTGGCTGTTGGCTGTCAATCTTGCATGATTCAAAACCAAAGGGGCAGATGCAACACTCCCCTTGCAAAAGGTGCGGATACCCGGATACCCGATTGAGCTGCCCCGAATTCGACGCATCCCATGCGACGCAACGGCTCGCTTTCGCGCGACGTGGAATCGCGACTTCGGTCGAATCCGCCAGCGGTCGAATCCGCTCGAGGCTCGCAAACAAAAAATCGAAGTCCCGGTCCCTTCGCATCGCTCGAATCCGGCGCGAATCCGCTCGATTCCGCTCGATTCCGCTTTCCGGTCGAATCCGGTCCCTGTCGGAGCGGGTCTTCATCTCATCGAACTTGGTCTCCATGCTCGCCTTCGGGGCTTCGGCCCGGCCTCTTAAATGCCCTAGGCTGAAGGAAACCCTCTGGGGCACAAATTCCAAAGTGAGCTCTGGCAAATCCCGCTCTCGCCTTTTCAAGGAAGCCGAGACTGAGGTCCCTCACTTTGAGACACACCCACCTGCACTCATCAAATACAGTCGGCAGGATCCAAGTGTCCTCGAGTAATCCTTTGCTACTGATGGACAAAATCCGCACCAGGCACAAGTGATGGATGAAGCCGAAAGCCTCTGCAAACTGAGATAAATCACCAACCGACGCAGGAGTTTTGCCCATTCCGTTGGGGGTTTGGAACGCAACCTGGGCGCATGATCTTCAGCCTGCAGACAACGGACGTGAAGGAACCTTCATGGGCACAAACCGCAACTCTGTGAGCCAGTGGTGTGTAGTTTAGACGGCAGGCCAGAGAAGGGACAAGTGAACAACACACGCGTTTGCGCCCAGCGAGAACCAGGTATTTCCGGCGAGACCAAGCGCACCTAATCCGTTCCCCCCGAAAGATGGGTCCATGGCGGGCAGGGGCCCCACCTTGGTTTTCTGACGTGCTCAACAACTCTGGAAAGTCTTCATTAAGTCACCAACAGCCGGCCCGTGCTCACGTACAAATCACGGTGACCAGAACTCGATGCCAGCGCTGGAGGACTAACTACTCCTATTCCAGTGTCCGAAGACGCCTCGCAACTCCGAAGATTTTCGCATTTTTGCCCCACTCCAAGTCTTCCCATCCCACCCGCGCAATAGTCGGCCCAACCCTCAACCCCTCCCATCTCCTTCTGCTCTCTGAGCACGTCCCGGGTGTTCTCGCACTCGTCCAGGCGATTGCCTCGCGGAAATCGCGAGCACTCGGCTCGACTCTTCGGCGCCCGTGGCCCTTCGGCCGGGAGCCCGGGAGCCCGGGAGCCCGGGAGCCCGGCGCAAGCTTTTCACCTGGCGCGCGGGAGCCGAGGGGAGCGGCGTTCAGGAAACGGGACAAAGGGAGGGTAGAAACCCGCCTCGTGCTCAGTCAATGAGACATGGAATGACCAAGAAAAACCATCCAAGCGGTGATAAATGGAACCCCAAGAAAAACCATCCAAATGACCCCAAGAAAAACCATCCAACTGGTGGTAAATGAAATGACCCCCCCCCCAAAAAAAAAAAGGTGGTAAATGGAATGACCCAAGAAAAAGCATCCAACTGGTGGTGTCCTTTCAGGGAACCCCCAAGTTCATTCCCTCATTCCCTACTGAGCACCAGGTGGCTTTGGGGAAACGGACCTAGGACGTGGCCCTCACAAAAAAAAAATGAAGAAGAGGAACAGTGCGCGCCAAGGTGAGCAATGGGATGCCACGTCGCTGAATCAGCTCCCCTCTGATTGGAGAGTTGGATTGGATGGGGTGGATTGGTGGTCTTCCGGGGTGGTTTTCCATCTGCCCTCTACAAGGGTTCAAATCAGTTCAGGCCAGTCCAAGCCACCCAAGAGTTACCTGACCAATTTCTCGATCCTCCCATGCCTTCTGAAGCGAACTTCACCCCATTTTTCTTTCGCAGAAAACCGCCCTTCAAGAAGTCGTCTGGGCCTCGGGCCATTTGAGTTGAAAAGAAGACTTCCTGGGCTCTTGGCTGGAAGTTTAGGACCCCAGCAAAACACAATATGGCGAGTGGAAAACAAAGGGGGAAAAAAGAAAGAAAAAGGGAGAGCTAATCCTGGGGAAGGGTTTAAAATGGTTGCCACGGCTAGGACATGGCCCCACGTGCAAAAAAACTGGCCTGCCTCCGCCCAAATCAGCTTCCCTCTAACTGGGGGCTTTGATGGGCGACTTGGAGGTACTCTAGGTCCAGTTTCCCATTGACCCTCTACAAAAACCTCAAAGCCCGAGAACTCTCGCCAATCTAAACCACCAAGAAAGGGCTACCGGACTCCAAGCTATGGATACCCAACTCCTGCGAGCTACCCAGCCGCCCTTTTCCCCCTCCCCAGCCCCATCCAGCCCCCACAGGCGCACGTCACGAGCCGCTGGCCTCCTCTTGGAACCTCAAAGTGGACTCCCCGACGAAGTTGATGCTCTCCATCTGGCGATGTCTTCGGCAGAAACTCGCGGCCACCGACACCAAGTGGTGAGTGACCGTCTCCCGAAAATTTGAAGGATCACATCTTTGATGGAAGGACCCGGATGGAAACCGAGTCCACCTGTAGGCAAAACCCCATCTCGGCCACGTCACCAGTGCCTAACCTATCGCCGACTCGGCGATCTAAGACGGTTTCCACTACCCCCAAACCACTATCCCCACCCTTTATATGGTGGGTAGCTTGAGATCCCTTCTTTCAAGCCTTGGAAGGGTTTGCAGGAACCCTTCATGAGTGCCGCCGCCCGCACCTCACGCCGCAGAAAGCAAAAACGGAGCGGACGGTTTTCCACCTCGCCCCGCGTCATCTCACGTGCCCATCTGCTCTAACCCGAGCCTGTGTCCAGAAATGCCTTGGCCAAGCCGTCAAGAAGCAGTGCAGAAGGGAACTCAGCTCTGGGTGCCAATTTGAAAGTCTGGAATTGACACGAACTGCATCCGGGCATCCCTTACCCTCGTTCCAATCATGGAAGTGAAACCCTTCTGTCAGCTTCTACGGTTGTTGGATTTGACACGATTTAGCACCCAGATCTTCCTGGCCGTTTGGGCCGAATTCAAACTGTCCAACTTCGCCTTCTGCGAGTTTTCGGGCGCAACCAGCAGAGCCGGTGGCCACAACACAGTCGGGCACTTGTTGCCAAGACTTGAACCTCCCAACATGGGCTGGTGCACGTTCGACCCCTTGGGGAATAGGTCCATTTGCTTAAGTTGCCTGGAACAACATTATTTGCGTCCGTGGGTGATAGGTTCGCTGTAAAACCAACAGAGGAAAGCAAACATATGCTTGAGCAAGTGAAAGAATGTCGCTTTCCTTTTGGAATGGCTTTGCCCCTGCCCATGTGTGGTAGGATTCCGGGCTTCATCCACCCACTCTGGCGCATTTGAGCCACGGTCAAAATTACTCCCCCCAAGCACCCGGGAAATGTCGTGCTCGTCCCCCAGCTTTTGCGGCTGGCCCCAAATGGACCATGGGCGTTTCGTAGTTGGAAACACCCATGAACCGAAAAGTTGACTCAAGGCTAAAAAGATGCCACAAATCAATCTTTGCTAGTTCGCGCTTGGAAACACACGATCTTCCACCCAAAAGCTTAAATTTCGTCAAAGACCCCCACGGCTCCCGAAACGCGGCGAAGCGAGACCATTGCTTTGCTTCACACCACCAGGGCCTTGGAAGCCTTGGCGGCTTTTCCGGCGAACCAGGGCAGCACCGTTCGCAGCTCGGCCCGGTTCTTTGGGTGCGCCAGGCTCAAAGCCACCTCGATGCGAGACCAGCGGATCCATGAAACGTCGATGTGTTTGTTTGTTTGTTGTTCTTTTTTTTCTCGGGAGGGGCGGGTGGCCTTTTTAGGCTCACTGTAAAGGGAGGCCAAAGGGAAAACACTTTCACGATTTGGAGGTCCTCGATTTTGAGACGCCAAAAGGTCCCCAAGGGGGCCAGATTACAAAGACCAGCAATTGTTGAATACAACAGAAACCAGCCGCAGCATGTTCTACAGGCTGGGATTTGGCAAGTTTCCTCTAGAATTGTCCTGCCGGCTGCTATGAAAACAGGCAAAACAAAATTGCAAAAAAGGTGACCAATTGATCCGTCTGACAATGCAAATATAGTGGCCCCCTAAAAT